AGAGGGAGAGAGAGAGAGAGAGAGAGAACAGAGAAAGAGAAAGAGAGAGAGGGGGAGGGGGGGGGCGACAACGAAACCAAAGGTTCTCTACAGACGACTCTCTTTGACGACATGACGACATGACGACATGACAACGTTCCAAATTCATTCTAAATTTAGCACTTGAGCTGGAGCATAGGCCTAATATAATAATCAAAAAGAAGATTCCCAACATGAAACACAACAATTCTGAATTCTGTTTGGACGTTATAAACTCATGTTCTTTAAGAAATCAGCTCAAGGAAACGAATTATCGCAATGTTTGAGTCTTGACTCGAAAGACTATAATACGGTCAACTGTGCTTTGCCCCAGCGTCATAATCGGGAAAAACTACACAGCTGTCTTATCTGGGAAAACATGTTGCTTTATTTAGCTCAGGGTTTTCCCGTTGAATGGGAAAACGATTGGAAATGGCTGTCCTGATTTAACCAAGATTTTTAGTTAATTCGACAACTTTTTTGCCACCTAAGCCCTAGTCTAACAAACAAAATAAAGGTAAGCTATGACCGATGCAGTTGAAGCCAGTCGGTAGATTTCTACGACTAGACTAGATCGAGATTCTAGATCTAGAGACTAGATCGAGATTCTAGATCTAGAGACTAGATCTAGATTCTAGATCTAGAGATCTAGATTAGATTCTAGATAATCTATCTTAATCTAGGTTTTCTTGTCTTCTACATATCTGTGTTGTTTCAGTTTGAAAATCAAGATTTATCAGACCAAATCTTCACTGTTTCCCAAATCATTTGTCACTAGTGGAGACTTTATTCTTCTCCTGCACTGCGAGCTCTAAAAGTTATAAAAAAGCCTTATTCCCATCATCGGGCTAAACAAAATATACGTGTGATAATATTAATAGGCCTAGATCTCTAGATATATATGATAGTGAATATTTTAATAACATTCTTATCCTTTTTAAAGTGGGCCTTACTCTCTAATCTATGCGAGAAACACCAAAACCTAATGAAGAACGATAGGCTAATAACTATAGATCTAGATCTAGTAGAAAAGAGTCAATAACTTACCTGTGTAGTTTCAATATATAATATTTCCACTGCTACACGACAAACACTTTTGTTATCCCCGCAAAATCTAGATCTAGATCTAGATCTAGATAAGAGTTTCACTTTGCTATCCTGGAAAAATCATAGATCTAACTAGATCTATAGCTCTTGCCTATCGATATCGATAATCTTGACGGCAGTCACTTCTTATATATCTAGATCTAGATCTAGAGGTCTACAATTAATTGCCACACAGTTGAGAAGGCGTACAAGACAAGTAGTAGACCTAGGTTTGACTTGCGTGATGTAATTAGCTGGAACTGAATCAAGCTGAGTATTGTTCTCAGAACAAATAAATAACTGAGATGAAGGCAGAGTCTGATCGAAACCTATCAGGTCGGGGCGGGCAGGTCCAGAGAAGTCAATCAGCAGCGATCCGAAAGATTCAGAAATAAACATAGATCTCTATCTCTAGATCTAGACTAGTCCTAGTCGGGGGAGGTTGAACACTCGTCCATGAAACCCGTGGATCTAGATCTATGCATCGCACAGTTGATAGCTTACCTTTATTTTAGGGTATTTTAGCATGATCCGTGAATTTTATCCAAACAGCTCGTATTTATGTCGTTCTGGTCTCCTACTAGATCAAGTCCGACTGAGTCAACGACCGCCGAAGGATCACAAGTGAACTGACAGTGATATAAAGCGCTAAAAATATCTTTCGGAGATTTCCACAATTACACCACCGGGGCCCTGCTTTAAACACACACACACACACACACACACACATACT